ACAAAAGAGGTTCAAAAAGTTTGTGGAAGAATGGAATGGAAAGATCATGGAATTCTCTCATGGACCTTTTGAAGCCCCGTCCTATGTGCCGTTTATTATTGCTACAATTGAAAACCATGCTCCTGGAAATGGTGCTATTTCCCAGAAGAGTACTGCTCTGCGGGTGTCCCCCAAGCTCTGTAAGGGTGAAGAAAGTGGTCTGTTTTATTTACTGCTATGTACTCGGTGCTGAAAAAAAAAAGCTTGGCATACAGTACAGCACAGATTCCCAAACTTATTTGGCCAACCTCCTCTTTTTCAGAAAACCAATAACATTTACTGAGCATCCCTGGGGCGGTGATACACTCGTACAATCACCCCTGCTCTAGGATAAAGTGTAGGTATCTGTTGGATCTTTGCAGTGCCCCCCAGGGGCTGATTGGCCAGTTGGGCAAACACTGCAGAAGAGGCTGGATAAAGATGACTCTGTGTTGGCCGCTTGGGCCCATCTTGCCTCTTCTCCCATCTGCACTACACATTCTGCTTGAACCATCTGAACTGCTTCCAGCACTTGGAGCCCATCCGCTCAGGGACCCATTCCTATACCTGCTGAGTTCCTCTTTGTGCCAGACATTATTCTAGGAGCTGGAGAGCCTTAGTGAGTAAAACATAATGGTGGGGAGAGGATCACCCCCAAATTAGAGTGTTGGGTGCAGGCTGTGACAAATGCAACAAAGGCTAAATACAAGGGGTGTAAGACTATATCATATTATATAGAATAAAGACATGGTGGGAGTTGGTCCTGATTCAGGAGGTGACATTTGATTTGCGCTCAGGAGATCCACTCAGTATCTGAAAGAACGTGTGGCTAGGGAGGTTGAGCATTGGGGAGTGGTGTGCAGGAGGGGGGGAGACGGAGGTGGGTGCATGTTGGCATGTCAGTAAGGTGACCAGACAATCCTGATTTTTAACAATTTGTCCTGCGTCCCAAGGCGTTTTTAAAAAGTCCCGATCTTTGGAAAGAATGCACAACAAGCTAGGGTATATGGTTTTCGGCTGCCATGTGGCTATTTTTCCAGGATGTGAGTTTTATCAATGGTTTCCCGCTGGTGTCCTGCTTTACCAGTGTTAAAATCTGGTCACCTTAATAGGCCTAAGAGGTCAGCAGGAGCCAGACCCTGGCAGATGCTTGCAAGCCACACTCCATGTTTTGGTCTTGATCCAGGGAGTAGTGAGCAGAGTTATGAGCAGGGTGGAGATGTCTGACATGATCCAATTTGCCTAGTGCCAGCTCCTCTGTGCTTTCCACCCACCAGTCCTGCCCCACCCTCTCCCTGGCCCAGTCTGGGGCCCGCAATTACTTTATCGGTGGTGAGGACAGCCACAGTAGGTGACTGAAATCTCAGCCCTGTAGTTATTGACTCTTGGCTGCTGTTCCTAACAAACTCTTGGCTTCCCTAGGGGGTGCCTGAGTAGATTTGCTGAGAAGAGGACAGGGTGGGGGCCGAGCGGTGCTGGGGCGGGGAGTGGCTCTGGGGCTCTGGGTTCTGTTCTCACATTTGTCTCCCTCGGTTACAGCCCTGCTCACGGGATGCTGCATCCTAAGTCACTAAGCCTTGCTCAGGGGAGGGTTAGAGCGGGGTAAGCAGGTCCTTCACCACCAAACGAGGTAGCAGTTCAGATGAATCATTCCATTAGCTCGGGGTGGGGGGTATCCACCACCGAGTGAGTGGATCAGTGTGTCCTCTGGACCTCGCAACCCGAGTGAGTCTGGCCGCTGTAGGACCTGCAAGCCTGTCTAAGGGGATGGCCGGCCGGTACAGTCTCTGGCTCAGGGAACCGAGGTGGGAGCCTTTGTCTCCCTCTGCCGGGGGTGTTGATTGGAAAGCACTTTGGCTAAAGCACTTAGGTGGATTTCCTGGACTGTTCCCTTCAGGAGGGGCGCCAATAGGATCTAAGGAGTTAGCAATCAGGTGGAAGCCACCTTCATCAGACTTTTGAGTCCGGATATCTATCCTCAAAGGTTTGATGGGGACGGATTTCTCAGGCAATGGAGAAGATACAGTTCAACACGGTATCTAGGGCTTCAGGGTGAGGCCCAGGCAGCAGGCACAGCAGACTCTGGACCAATGATAAGGGCAGGGGGCTGTGACCTGGGGCTGTGCCTCCAGCTCTGTGGCTGGAAAAGACCGGAATCCGTTGGCCCCGGCAGGAGCAGAATCTTAGCTCCTGTCTCTGTGGTTCTGAGGGCAATCTGTGGCTCCCTGCCATCTATCTGTCTTGGCACCCAGATTCTGCTCCTTATTAGCTATGTGGCCTGGGAACATGACTTACCCTCTCTCTGCCTTAGTCCTGTATCTGAACCATAGAGGTCAGAAGAAGGAGGAAGGATGAGTTCATCTATGAAAATCCTTGGAACCGTTCTTGGCACATGGCAAATCCTCTTTAGGGCTGGGAAAGGGAGCCTCACCAGAACTACCCAGTAGCAGCCATGTTTCTGCCATCCGTTTCCCTTTTCTCCTGCTTTTTCTTCTACTGCCTTTTCATAGTAGGGACCGGTGGTGTGGTGTAGTTATTACACATTGAGCTGTTAACCCCAAGGTCAGCAGTTTGAACTCACCAGCCACCCTCAGGGAAAAGATGAGGCTTTCTGCTCCTGGAAAGATTTGCAGGCCGGGAACCTCAAATGGGCAATTCTCCTCTGCCACATAGGATCGTTAGGCATTGGCATCATCTGGTAGAGAGTTTGGTTTGGTGAGTTTGCCACTAATAGTGACTACAGTTGCCCAACGGAACAGGCTCACATGTACTATATCTTGTGCCAACGTAACGGTCATAGGTTATCTCATTCATGCTCATTACAACTCTATAAAGAAGGAACTTGTTACCATTTACATATAAGAGAACAGAGGTTCAAAGAGGGTGCATAGCCTGTGTAAAGCCAGGCAGCTGGGCCTGGAGTGGAAGCCCAGTTTTGGCTGACTCCAGTGTCCATACTCTTGGCCATGACTGAGCTGCTTCTATCTCCCACCCCTTCCTGTAAGCCTGCATTTACATCTCCCCAGGAGAGAGGATCGATTGGCTTGGTGGGTTCCCATCCAGCATGGAGCGTGTCTGAGCCAAGCTCATAGGTCCCTTTCTTTGGATTGGATTTGTAACGGCTGGGACTCTGCTACTTGGCCCAGCCCCTGGTGGCCAGCGGGTGGATTACAGGCCCCAAAGCTCAGCGATCTGAGCAGGAAGGAGAACATGGTCCCTAGTCTCAGGATGGTGTCAGGAAGAGAAGTGTCTCAGGAGGCAGAAGGTGAACTTACAACTCTTTCCTGCCAGGCTGAGGAATCCCTTAATCAGCTCCAACAACTGGAATACCGAGGTGGTCCAGTACCCCCCACTTTTCAGATGGAACAATTGAGACCCAAAGAGAGGATGTGGTTAGTAGGGTGTCTCAGAGGAAGTTGGTGCAAGAGGTGTGTGGGCTTGGACTCTGGGATCTTTCTTTGCTTTTGTTATTGTTGTGCAAACACGGGGGCAGCACAGCATTTGCCAAGCCAACCTTTCTGACATGTTCAGTCGTATCAGTCACCTTGATCAAGTTTGTGGCTGCTATCCTTCATCGGGCCCTGGACAGGTCAATGGCCACAGTGGCTGCAACCATGGGCTCCAGCATGAGAACAATTGGGAGGCCGGTGCAGGGTCAGGTGGGGGTTTCATTCTGTTGGGCACGAGGGTGCTGTGTGTTGCAACCGACCGGGTGGCACCGAACGCCACGACCCTCACCCATTTGGTGACCCAAAAAGGAGGTTGCTCGCTTCCTTCTTTCTCACCTGAGTTCACTCTGCCCGCTATCTCAAAGTTGTTAAGTAAAGACTGTTAAAAAAAAATCCAGTCTCATTCTGATGTTTTATTAATGGAGACTGCCAGTGTTTCCACCGTTTTAATTAGGGCTGCATTTGACCGTATTCAAACCCCAGGGAGCATCAGGGGAAGGGAGCCACTGAGCAAACCTGAGGATCAAATGAATAAGCTAATGAGATCCCATCATGTCTGGGGCTTGAGGTAGGTGGACCTGCAGCCCCTCTTTCCCGGGCATGTGGAGGGATGGGGAGCTGGGAAGAGGCAGGCAGAAGTGGTGGGCGCGCGGGTGGGTGGAATGTGGGAGACGTGAGGGTAAGTTTCCACCAGCAGCCAGTTCTTCAGCCCAGGATGCCGTTTCCTTGGTTAAAGACAAAACGTTAGGGCTAACTCATGGCCGGTCACCAATTCCCCAGGTGTACCTTCCTCTCCGGAGTGGTTAGAGATGAAAGAGAATCTAGTAAATGCTGTCATGGGAGCATTCGCTGTGACTGCTGGCCTGGGGGAAGAAGTCTGCTAGCTGCACCCCTTTGTGAGGTTAGACAGGTTCTTGCCCACCTGGGAATCCCCAGCACCTAGCAGGATGCTTGGCATTTAAAAGGTACCTGGTAGGTGTTCTTTGAAAACTGCAAAGGAGTTTAGGAAAGGGGACAGGAGGGAAATGTCGTAGGTAGGATGCAACATACTGTTTGGGAATCCTCTATTCAACATCAAAGACAATCCACAACACCTTCACATACCTTCTTAAGAAACTCCTGACACAGGATAAAGCCATCAGTTTGTGCTCCGCTGCTGGGGGTGCTGAGGGGGTGGTTTGGATTCAGCCGTGCTGCTGAGGAAAGGCCTGGCATTCTTCTTTCTTGCAGATTACAGCCAAGAGCACCCCCGAGGGGGCAGCTCTAACATAGCACGTTTGTGGGGTCTTCATGAGTCCGAACTGACTGGACAGCAATGGGTTTGTTTTTGCTTGTTTGTGTGAGTGTTGCATATTGTATATCCTGGACTGGCAGGGCCAAAAACCAGGCCTGTCCGCACCGTGGTGGCTCTGCTGATCATGATGGTGACCAAAAAAAAAAAAAGGACAGTCACAATCCCAGGCACTTCATGAATGCGAACATGTGCCTGGTGCTGTGCTCAAAACTTTATGAACATCAACCTATTTAATTTTATTCATGACTCAACCTGTGAGACAAAGCCCACTAGCACAATACAATAATAGCCGTAAAAAAGCACCTTTTTTTTTTTTTTAAACAGAGCAAAATGTCAGCCAGTGCAAAGGACACTGGTGATAATTGAGTCCATCTGGGAGGTGGGGCAGCTGAGACCAGTCAGGTGGGGACAGCCACAGATGCTGGTGAACTTGGTGTCTGTGGTCTGGCCAGCCGACGCCCCATCCCGGGATGTGCTGCTGGAGCGGTTGGGCTTGCAATTTTCTTTTCTTTTCCTTCATTCTTGTCTTCCATGCATTTCTGGGACAGGCCTGATCCCTCGGGCTACCTATTCCAGGTACACAAGGAGGGGTGGTCAGGAGAATGTTGACAAATGCTCGGGCAAGGCGAAGCTTCTCCCCTCTGGGACAATGCTCCAAGCCAGCTCATTGAATCCAGGCTGGGGTTACAGAGGTAGGCGGCAAGGTGCTCTGGCCTGAATCAAACGCTGGATTAATTAAAAAGTGTCCAAGTGGATTGAATATTTCATGACCTGAAAGCTGAAGTCAAGGGCTCTTTGGAATAGAAATTAGATGTGTGTGTGTGTGCCTGGGCATCTGTCTCTGTGTGTCTCTCTGCCTACCCCCTGCTCACTGCTCTCTCTGACCCTTCTCTGCTTCCCCCTACTTCTCAGCTCCATCTGCTCCACTCACAGTGCTCTCGCCACGACACGGTGCTCTGTCTCCACCTCTATTTGCCCAATGCTCAGTTCAAACTTCTTTTCCCGTTTCTCTGACCTTCCCCCTTTGGCTTCTGTCTTCCCTTCTCTCCTCTGTTCGGGATCGCTTGGTAAATTTGATCGCTTCCAATCAGTAAATGCCTGGACCCTCCAGCATAAGTCTGGCCTGGAGCTGGGGATCCCCCAGGGACAGAGACCTGGACTGGCCCGTGTGGGCAAGCGGCTCTCAGGTGGATCTTGGAGCCAAATAGCACTTTCATGGTGTACTCAGCATCCACCTGCAAGTGGCCTTGAATGTGGCCCGCTCCAAGGAGAGCACCACCAGGTGAGCGAGAATGCCCTGCACTGTCCTGAGCAAGGCAGCGCCCTGAGGGGATGGCACCTGTTCTGCTCCCTCTTGCCGGTGGCCTTTCGCGCTTCAGTGGGTGCGGCTGGACTCTGCCACTTAGCCTCATCTGGAGGAGTCCCTCACTTTTCTGGCATTGCATTTCTCATTTATAGCATGCGCATCATCTCCAAGCTTTTCCAGGACCGGTGGTTACATAAGTCAGTGTAGTCTGGGCCCCGTGATTGCACATTCGGTGGCTTCTCAAATAAAATGCAAGACGGAGGGAGCCTCGTGGCTCTAATTATTTTGCCAACTCCTTGTTCTGCATCTCAATCTCCCTCCCGGCACAATTCAGATTCTATACATCAGGCTGGCAGGCGGGTGCCGAGGGAAATCATGTGGGTTTGCACCTAAAATTTGTTAGATTTTTGGAGGCCTCTCTTATTTATGGGTTTGTCCTTTTCTTAATAGTAATGAGACTTACTATCTACATCTTGATTTGGCAGCTTTATCAACATCCCTGTGACTGAATGTCTGAGTTATCTTTTGCTGCACTTACAGGATTACTGTAAGTAGATGGCTTTCGCAAACAGAAATGTATTTTCTCACAGTAAAGGAGGCTAGAAATCCAAATTCAGGGTGCCAGCTCTAGGGAAGGTGCTCCCTCTCTCTCTCCCATTTGTCTGTTAGTTTGTCACACTGGGATGGCTTGTGGGATACCGAAGCTATGTCACTTGTATTTCAAACACCAGTAGGATCACCTGAAGTGAACCGGTTTCAGCAGAGCTTCCAGAATAAGAACAGACTCTGAAGAAGGAGTAGGTTGTCAGAGGAATTAGCCCCTGAAAACCTCATGACTAGCAAAAGAACATCATCAAAGATAGTGCCAGGAGATGAGCTCCTCAGGTTGGATGGCACCAAAACATGACTGAGGAAGAGCTGCTCTCTCAAAGTGGAGTTGACCATGATGGCATAGGTCAGCGGTTCTCAACCTGTGGGTCGTGACCCCTTTGGGGTTCGAACGACCCTTTCACTTGGGTTGCCCGATTCATAACAGTAGCAAAATGACAGTGATGAAGTAGCAACAAAAATAATTTCATGGTCGAGGGGTGTGGTGGAAGAGCCAGCCCCCATCACTAATCACGGGTTCGATAGGTGCAATTGTATGGTTGGGATATATAAATATTATATTAAAGTCATCAAGAGCATGAGAGATAGAAGAGAGATTGAAATAATGGAGTCAGACACATTTCATGGTAGCATGCTCACCTCAGCCCCGCTTGGTGGTCCACATGGAGAGAGAGAGCAGGGAAGGAGGAGAAGGGGAAATAGAACAGGGGAGCAAGGACAGGAGAGGGAGCCCGAGTGAGAGCTCTTTATTGCTAACCCAGGCCTATATACCTTTGCGGGGAGTGCAAGCCCACTAATTACAGGTAAAGACATATGTCACAGGAAGGGGGTGCGCTATAGGTTATACAGCAACGAGAGGGGGACAATCTAGGGATATACATGCAATAGGAAGAGGAGGGTTTGGGGTATACATGTGACAAGAAGGGTGGATCCTAGATTCAGGATGGCAGCCTAACTTTGATGTCACTGAGCCGGTTTGACCTGTTCTCTAGATCTCCATAAACCCCACCTATGGCGACCAAGCTAATGGTTGCAAACCTTTAGGGAGAAGTAGCCCACTTTCCTTAACAGCAGGGAGCAGGGCCTACCTGTAACCTGGCGACTGAGTGCCTTCAGGGAGATAACTTGACAATCATGTATTGTTAGCTGCAAGCAGTGTTCCAAGTCTAACATATCTGGGGGAAGCGACTTGGGAGGTCACCACAACATGAGGAACTGTATTAAGGGGTCACGGCAGTAGGAAGGTTGAGAACCACTGACACAGATGGAGTAAAGCCTTCAGGACCTTACTTTGCTGAAAAGGCATGACTCAAAATGAGAAGAAACACATGAAACTATATATTAGTAATTGGAATTTAGAATGTACAAAGCATGAATCTAGGGTAATCGGAAGTCTTCGAAAATGAAGTGGAATGCATGAAGATTGATATCCTAGACTGAGTGAGGTGAAATGTACCGGTGTTGGTCATTTTGAATCAGGAAGTCTTATGTTTACTCTGCCAGGATTGACAGATTCAAGAGAAATGGCATTGCATTCACCATTAAAAAAAGAGCATTACAAGACTGACCTTACTATCTATGACAGGATAATATCTATCTGCATACAAGGAAATCCAATAATTACAACTATTATTCAAATGTATGCACCAACCACTGCAATGTTAAAGAAATTGAAGATTACCAATGTCTTCAGTCTAAACTTGATGAAAAATACAATCAGGATGCACGGATAATTATTAGAGATTGGAATGCAAACATTGGAAACAAAGAGGAAGAAACAGTAGTTGGAAAATGTGGGCTTGGTGATAGAAATGAAGCTGGAGATTGCATCACAAATACTATGTTCAACAGCATTTGTCAACAAACAGTGGCTATACACATGGACTTCTCCACATAGAATACAGAGAAACAAATGGACTGTCTAGGAGAAGCTCATTATCAGCAGCTAAAATCAGGCCAGGCACAATTCTGGAGCCAACCATAAATTGCTCCTAGTAAGTTCAGGTTAGAGTTGAAGAAAATTAAAACAAGCACACAAGCTTCAAAACATAACTTTGAGTCTATCCACCTGAATTTTAAAGCATCTCAGGAGCAAATTTGGTGCATTGAACACCAATGACAAGAGACCTGTTGACATCATGAACAGCATACACGAAGAAAGCCAAAAAAATTCATTAAAAGAGAAAAGAAGGGAAAAAAGAAAAATTTTAAAAAGGAGAGAAAAATAATGAAATATCAAAGTGAGTGTCAGAAGAGACTCTGAAAGTTTCTCTTAATCACATAGCGTTGAGGCAAATGGAAGAAATGATTAAGCCAAAGAGCTGAAGTTAAAATTTCAAAGGGCATATAAGATAGTATAAAATCTTATAATAAAACGTGTAAAGACCTAGACTTAGACAATCAAAAACAAAGAACATGCTAGCATATCTTAATCTGAAAGAACTGAAGTAAATATTCCAGCCTCAGGTTCCAAGATTGAAAGATTCTATGGACAAAAGATTGAATGATGTAGTAGTCATCAGCAGAAGATAGAAAGGATACACAAATCACTGTACCAAAGAGCTAATAGACATTCATCCATTTCAAGAGGTAGCATAAGAGCGAGAACCAATGGTACCGAAGAAAGAAGTCCAAGCTTCACTGAAGGTATCTGCCAAAAACAAGGTTCCGGGAGTTGATAGAATACCAATGGACATGTTTCAACAAGCATTAGAAGCACTCATTTGTCTATACCAAAAAGTGTAAAGACTGCTTGGTCCACTGATTGGAAGAGATCCATATTTGTACCCATGACAAAGAAAGGTGATCCAACAGAATGCACAGATTATAAAACAATATTATGGATATTACATGCAAGTAAAATTTTGCTGAAGATCATCTAACAACTGCTACAGCAGTGCGTTGACAAAAAGCTGCCAGAAATTCAGGCAGGGTTCAGAAGAGGACTTGGAATAAGGGATATCATTGATGGATCTTGGCTGAAAGAAGAGAATACTTGAGGATGTTTATCTGTGCTCTTTAGAAGCAAGAATGACAAGACTTTATATCACATCCTTTGATCATGTAAAGTAGAGGAACAGTGAAAAGGAGAAAAACCCGCAATAAGGTGGATGGACACAGTGGCCGCAACAATGGGCTCAAACATAAGAACCATTGTGAAGCAGGTACAGGGCTTGGTGGTGTATGGTACACAGGGTTACTATGAGTTGGAAATGACTCTGCACCTAACAGCAAAAAGTCTCTGTCAGTTCTGATGGAAGGTCCATGACTCCTTTTAACATCTGTGAGCCCTATATTCCTTAGGGATCTCCATTGTCTTGGCATCGATCTTCTCCTGGGTCTACAAGGGTTACCACAGGGATCCAGATCCAAATGACACCCTGTTTCTGCCTCTTTTTATTGGTGGCAGTCAGGTTCCTCTCTGCTTGCTTCTTTCTCTTTTTCTTTCTTGTAAAATAACAAGTGACATAAGCCACTCTCCAGGGAACTTATCTTTACATCAGCTCATGGCTGTGGCTTGCATAAGGCTGTTATATCCCATCCTAATCCCCTTACAACTGATTGGCTGATGGTATCAGACATGATCTGATGTCATCATTACACAGCTGTTCAACTGAGAACATGGTCCAAACAGGCTGACACACATTTAGGGAACATAATTCAATTGATGGAAATTTCCATCTAGGTAATAGGACGGTGATCACATTGAATCAACATAAATAACAAGAAAACTCCACTGGTTTGGGAGCTCTGCAAGCCGTGGGGACCAGACTTTTTCTAGGGGATTGTGTAACTGCTTCATACTCAGAGTCAAAGCCAACTGTCAGGCTCACTACTGAGAAAGTGGGATTGTTTTACATTATTCTAATCTGAGGACTCAGGGTCCCTACATTGTAGTTATTTCCATTTTGAGGCACTTGATCCTGTAGGAAAAGAAGTTTTGGAGTCAGACTGACCTGGTTCAAGCCCTGGTTCATTAATTCAATCACTATGAATTTCCCCATCAGATAAAAAATTAGTTTCAAATGAGCTATTCAATTTTTTTTACATTCGCAAGGGCTTTATATATAACCACCAGTTTCTGGGAGGTCTATTCTGGTTTATGGTAACATCATGTGTGTAGAGTAGAACTGTGGTCCAGTGGCGGAGGTTCTGGAAGTGCATCACCATGTCTTTCTTCCCAAATGCCTCTGGGTATCTTGAACTACCAGTTAGTATGTAAATGAATCAGCTACGCGCACGTTCCAGGGCATGGTCTGAATTCTATGCGGTCAGTGCAATGAATTATAAGCCTATCTGAAAAGTAAAGAGTGCTGTGGGAGACTGAGCAACATGACAGCCCTTGAGCCAGTATTTGACCGTGCTTCTGGGTGAGCATACAAGATCAGAGTTTCTACTATCTACATACTTTTGTATGCTCATGTTTACTTAATTTACTTACTCTAAAATATCACTGAAGAGCCACCATTCTTTTTTGTGCTATGAAGAAGGGTTAGCCTCGGTGGTGCCTACAGTCAAGCGCTTGGCTGCTGAGGTCAGTGCTTCACACGCAACAGCTGCTCTGCAGGAGAAAAGACCTGGAACTCTGATTCCATAAAGACTTCAGCCTAAGAAACCCTGTGAGCAGTCCTCCTACCTCTGATAGGGTCGCAGTGAGTTGGAATCAATTCAATGTCTACAATTGTTTTTAAGGAAGGGTGAAAAGGGTTAATGCTTTCCAATTTAAGAGACAGCCTATTTCAGAGGTGTTTAATTTGAAAGCAAAAGAAGAGAATACCTCATAGAATAGAAGAAATATGGTTTGTTCCTACGTGTCAGAATAGATGCATTTATGAAAACACACAGAGAAAAGCTGGATGCGTTCACACTAAAGGTTACAGAAATTATCTCCAGGGAAGTAAATGGAGTTGGAGCGAGAAGGGAAACTTTCACATTTTAATTCTTAGGCCTTTGAGCTGTTTCAACGTTCTACAATGAGTATGTCTTACTTATATAATTTAGGAAGTATGTTTAATATGAAAAATAATTCAATTCACCTGTAAAATGACTCATGGGATGGGTGGTATGACTTTGGAGGTAAAACAGTTTTATTCCGCCTCCTTCTCCCTTCTGGCAGTTCACCAGGAAATCATTCACTGAGGAAAGATGAAATATATTGAAAACACTTTCTGCACAAAAATTATGTTACACATTTAAGGTATGATTGCTATTGTGAAGGATTTCTGTTTGTAGGTAGATAGTTGGTCTTTTTTTGTTTTAATCTCCCATTTCTCCTCTTCCCTCAAAAAAAGTGTCTCAAAAAAGTCAAGGGGACACAGTTCTATGTGGACACACAGGGAGTCCGTGAATTATGAGACACTTGATACAACTCGTTTTTGTTGGATTGTAAGAAACTCTACAAATATTATACCATATAAATAGGCTTGGGGTTCTTAGTCTCCTTGCAGAACATATGGATCGGAGTTCTTCCAAGGGCTTTTACTGTCTATAGAGAATGGATCGAAGTGTCTTATCAGTTGCTACCACAGGAACTACTTTATTCATATCATTTTGATTAGGATAGGAACATTTACACGAAGCCGTTTGTTTTTTTTCCTTCTCTATTCTCCATTACTGCTGAAGGAGAACGGGGACAAGTTTGTTCAGGATGGTAAGCGGCCCTCGCATGAGCTACAAAGTGGAAATTCAGGTTGGAAATATTTCACATTGTAGGCAGAAAAGAGGCATTTGCACAAGTTGTGTTTTTGTGATGTGCGTCCCTAGATCCAATAAAGGGGCACTTTACCCTAATGAAAGATGTATAAAAGACTTTTCTACCTGGGAAAGGGACATTTCTAGGAAAGGCCTTGGGTCGTAGATTTCAAAGTCATGAGTGACTGTGAAGGCCACGTGGTCATCAGCCTCCTACCTGATGCAGGAACCCTGTGCTAGTTTCTGTGGCTGAGGCTCCTGGTCAGCCTTTGTTTGTATACCTGTTGTTTCTTTTCTTTTCTGTGTGACCTAAGTGAAAGTTTACAGAGCAGATCATCCGTGTTACAACCAACCATTCCTCCACATCTTGTTTCAGCTGATTCATTGCAAGCCCCTCAATGAACCGTCGCTTATACCACTTCCACCCCATGTTTCATACTTCTATTAAGCACCCCTGGTACTGAAGGAAGAAATCCAAACTGAAGATTTTAATCAAAAACAAGGCTCCAGGAATTGACGGACCTGAATATAGAATATCAACTGAAGTATTTCAGCAAACTGATGAAGCACTAGAAGCGTTCATGCACCTATGCCACGAAAGTTGGAAGACTGACCCGGGCAACTGATTGGAAGAGATCCATATTTGTATCCATGCCAAAGAACAGCGATCTAACAGAATGCAGAAATTATCCAACAATTTCAGTAATGTAGCATGCAAATAAAATTTTGCTGAAGATCATTCAACAAGGGTTGCAGTTACATATTGACAGAATTCAAGTCAGATTCAGAAGAGGGTATGGAACAAGATCTAATATTGCTGATGGCAAATGATCCACAGCCCAAAGCAGAGACTACGAGGAAAATATTTACTTGTGTTTTATAACCTATGCAAAGGCATTCAACTATGTGAATCACACCAAACTATGCCTAGCATTGAGAAGAATGGAACTGCCAGAACACTTTATTGTGCTCATGCAGAACTTGGACATACATCAAGAGGTAGATATTTGAATAGAACAAGAAATATTGCATGCTTTCAGATCAGGAAAAGTGTGCATCAGGGTTGTTTTGTCTTATTATACAACACTTGATATGCCGATGACACAACCTTGCTTGCTAAAAATTAGGAGGACTTGAAGCTCTTGCTATCAAAGATCAAGGATTTCCACTTTCAATATGGATTACAACTCAAAGAAAATCCAAACTCTCACAACTGGACCAACAAGCAACACAGTAGACAGTGAAAAGATTGAAATTGTCAAGGATTTCATCTTGCTCGATTCACAATCAAGGCTCATAGAAGCAGCAGTCAAGATGTTATATATTAGATAAATCTGCACAAGATCTCTTTGAAGTGTTTAGAGCAAGGGTGTCACTTTGAGGACTAAGGTGCGCCCGACTCAAGCCATGGTGTTTTCAAATGCTTCAAATGTGTCAGAGAGTTGGACATTGAATAACAAAGAATGGAGAAGAATCAATGCATTTGAATTTTGGTGCTGAGGAAGAATATGGCCACAAGATTGGTCTTGGAAGAAGTACAGCCAGAATGCTCTTTAGAATTGAGGATGGTACGGACTTAATCTCGCATACTTTGGACAAGTTGTCCCTAGAAAATGACATCATGCTTGGTAAAGTCGGGGGGCAGTGAAAACCAGGAAGACTCTCAATGAGATGGATTAATACTGAGGCTGCAACAATGAGATCAAACATAACAATCGCGATTGTGAGGATGGCTCACGATTGGGCGATGTTGTGTTCTGTTGAAGAGAGGGTTGCTATGAATAGGAACCAATCGGCAGCGCCTAACAGGAACAACATCATTCCCTTCCTCATCCTCTGGGCTTCGTTCTGGGGTACATGCTGCCCTTTCGGTCTTAAGTGGTTGAGTCTTCCAGCATGGGGGTGTTCCGTCCTAGACCCTCACATGGGACTAAAAGTCATAGTCTTAGGGATTCCATCCGTCTAAACCCAGCCAGGAAGTTAATATCTTTTATAATTTGGGGGTTTGTTTCAATATTTTTCTCCCATTCTATTCAGAACCTTCTAATGCAGGAGTAGAGAAGCTTTTTATTCCCCCTGCAAGTGTCATTTGGATATTTATAACATCATTGTGGGTCATATAAAATAATAAACTTAAAATTAGGCTACTAAATTTGGTCAAACACTTCATCAACTCACTTTGTGAGCCATGTTATTTTAGAGAATATTGATTTTGTAGGCCGTCTATGCCCATGGGTTGGACGTTCCATACCCCTTTTCTAATAGGATCCTTTTGGAGAAGTTGGTCGCTGTAACTGGGCATCATTTAGTTCTTCTGGTCTTGGGGTGCTGGAGTCTGTTGCTCTCATGGTCCATTAGTCCATTAGACTAAATATTTACATATTTATTTTGATTTTCATCATTCTTTCCTCCAGAAGGGAGAGACCTATAATTTTCATCTTAGATGTATGCTCATTAGCTTATAAGACCCTTATTGTTACCCACCAAAGTAGAATGTAGGACGCGGTCTTTGTGAACTATGCCAATTGACTTCAGAATCCACTGAGACTATCCATTTGCTGTCCTTTGAAGAGCTCACTGCTTAAGGAACAGTGAGGTGTGATAAGCATCGAGGCAGCACTCAGCTTCGAGTGCCACTGACTGTAAAGTCCAGGAATACTACCTAGAAAGGGCAAGTGCAATCGGTTGCTTTGTGAGTTAGGAAGGCTTTTCATCGCATGTAATGTAATACTTGTTGGGGAGGGGCCTGGGCAGTGATAGCTCAGTGGTAGAATTATTGTCTTTCATGCAGGAGACCTAAGTGCTGCTACCACCTACCTCTCGGGAGAGGCTTGCCTGCTGCTACGATTCTGAACAGGTTTCCATAGAACTTTAAGACTAAGACAGAAGAAAAACAAACAAACAAAAAAGACAGATTAGGAAGAAAGGCCTGGAGCCAACTCAATAGTGACTAACAAGATACATAGTTAAATAATAATGGCCAAATAAAAATTTAACTAAATATAAATATCTAGAGAAAAACACGTCCAGGGATGCTTCAGTGGCTACAAATATCAAGGAGCAGGTTCTAATCATGTTCTAGTGTGCCCTTACCAGCTTTCTACCTAGGCTTATTGACCCAAGGTTGAAAGATAGCTGCCATAGTTTCAGGTTCCTGATACTGTGTTCTCTAATCAAAGCCTGGGAGCCCACATGGCACAGTGGTTAAGTGCCAGGCTGCTAACCCAAAAGTCAGTGTTTTGAACCAACCAGCCTTTCCACAAAATCTGCTTTCATACATATTTCAGCTTAAGAAACCCCATAGAACTCTGTTTTACTCTAACACATGGAGTCACCATTAATCTAAATCAAAGAGTAGGTTTTTAAGTTACTATTGGTCAAAAACTGTACTAATCATACAGCTGCTGTGGCTGTTAGATACCATCCAATAGGTCCTAACACATAACAACACCAGGAAACACTGCCTGTTCCCAAACCATCTTCCAATCGTTCCTATGGTTGAGTCCATTGTTGAAGCCACTCTCTTTTTCACTGATTTCACCAAGCAAAATGTCTTCCAGGGACTGGATTCTCCTGATAACATCTCTGAGATATGAGAGATGAAGTCTCCCCCTCCTCCCTTCTAAGGAGCATTTTGGCTTTACTTTTTCCAACACAGATTGCTCTGTTCAGCTGGCAATCTATGAGATACTCATTTTTCAGCACACTTTTTAATGCAGTTTTTGTGGTAAAATTAGGTGCCTCAGCTGACATTTGGGTCAGCTATAGTCAGGCATTTACGGTATTCCATAGTCTTCCTCAACACCACAATTCAAAGGCACCTATTCTTCGTTGGTTCTCATTCATTGTTCACTGTGTACACGCATATGAACCTAATGAAAATACCATGGCTTAGGTCAGGAGGTGTACCTTAATCTTGAAAGTGACATCTTTGCTTTTATCATGTTAGAGTGGCTCAAGTAGCACAAAATTCTTGACAACTTCAGTATTTTCCTCCATTTATCATCATCACGTTTTTATTGGTCCAGTTATAAAGATTTTGTTTATGTTGAAGTGTAATGGATACGAAAGACTAGTCTTTGATCTTCATCAGTAAGGACTTCAAATCTTCACTTTCGGCAAGCCAGGTTTTGTCTTTGGCACATTTCAGGTCATTAATGAATCTTGCTCCATTGATGATGCATTTTCTTCTTCATACAGTTCTCAGATTACTTGGTCAGCATACGCATTGAATAAATATGATTTAAAGATATAATCCTGACACACACCTTTTCTGATTTTAACCACACAGTATTCCCTTGTTCTACTGATTTATGTGTAGTTTCCAAACAAGCACAATTAAGTGTTGTTGTATTCCCATTCTTTGCAATGGTTTTCATAATTTGTTATGATCCATGAAGTTATGATCCATGATCCACTACTTTACATAGTCAATAAAATACAGCCAACATCTTGCTGGTTGTGTTAGGCTGGGTCCGCTAGAGAAACAAAACCAGGACACTTAGGAATATGTATATATATGGATAGGTTTATGTAGCATAAAGGAATCCAACAGCCAATTGGTCCACACAGCAGTACAGAAAGCTCAGTCAAATTCACTTTCGTGGGACAGTTAATATATTGATGGTCCTTCCAACTCCTGCTGGCCGCTGGCCTAAGGCCGAGGAAGCAGCCAGTAGGGAGATGAGATATAGAGGCATAGCAGAGGCCAATAGCTCAGCGTAGGGAAGCAGGTCTCGGTCCAGCCTCATGGTATAGCACTGCAAAGTGGTGGGTGGTGCAGCATCTGGAGTGGCAGCAAGATGAGCGGAGTTGCCCCGCAGGCAGCAGATATGACAAGGTGGGGGTGGCCCCACAGTGTGTAACAGTGGGGCACAGCGACACGGTCCAGCACAAGCCATGGGTTGATTAAACCCACAGACAGCACAGGGCATGTGTAGAGGCAGAGCAGCTAACTCAGGCAGCCTTCTTGGTCCACCACCAGAGAAAGAAGAAAGGGTCAGCCTCAGCGAACCATTTATCACGGTTGAGCCTCCAAAAGAGGTCATCAAACTGTGACCTGATTGACAGGCTAAACTCCACCCACATGTTCCTACAGGAGCCATGTTAGTACACAAAAAACTATCAGACTGGTCATCTCTGCTTGGAGCCAACATCAACCTGATATCAGCGATGTTACCCTTCATTCATGTCCTCTTCCGAATCTGGCTTGAATTTCTAGTAGTTCCCAATCAATGTAATGTAGCAACCATTTATGAAATATCTTCAGCATATTAATAATGTGTGCCATATTAATAATTTTGTCCAGTAATTTCAATATTCTGCTAGGTAATCTTTTTGTGGAATGGGTACTAACAGTCCTCTTCCAGTAGATTGGCCATGTACTTGTCTTCCAAATTTCTTGCAATGGGTGAGTGAGTACCTTCAGCCTTTGTATCCATTGTGGACGCATGTCAATTATTATTTCACCAATTCCTGGAGTTTGGATTTTGCTAATACCTTCAGTGTAGTTTGGACTTCTTTACCAGAGCAAACAGCCTCTTCTTTCCTTTGCAGAGCAACTAGTTGGAACTTGGTCAGCAGCTGCGTGTGTCACCTACCACACCGCGAAACTCCTTTCTCTTCCCACCAATGCCATCAATTTGATTCCTGGGTAATTCATTCGGTGAGGTCCATGTGCACAGTCACCATTGATGTGGCTGGAAAAAAGGTATTTGTGATGAAGAAGTCGTCGGTTTTATAAATATTTATCATGTAAACCTCCGGTATCATTTCTGTCATGAATGCCCTATATTCCAACTTTTCCATTATTCATCTTTGTTTCCAACTTTCGCATTCCAATCGCCGGTAATTTTCAAAGCATCTTGATCATGCGCTTGATCAGTTTCAGACTGCAGAACTTGGAAGAAGTCTTCGATTTCTTCCTAGTTAGCATTAGTGACTGGTGTGCAAATTTGAATGACAGTCGTTTTCCACGGTCTTCCTAGTTTTCCTCAGGTTCCATCAAGTCCGTTCCAATCTAAAGCGGCTCTGTGTACAACAAAATGACACTCTGCCAGGTCCTGTGCATTTTCATAGTTGTTCAGATGTTTGAGCCCCTCGCTGTCGCCACTATGTGGATTCATCTCCTCTAGGGTCTTCCTCTTTTCCTCCGCCCTTCCACTTTACTAGCATAATGTTCTTTTCCGGGGATAACATGTCCAAAGTATGTGAAAAGATGTCTTCCCATCCTTGGCTCTAAGGGGCATTTTGACTGTACTTCTTCCAATGCAGATGTGTTGATTAATTTGGCACTTCAGGGTACTTTGAATATTCTTTGCCAGCACCATAATTTAAATCCATCGATTCTTCTTCAGTCTTTGTTATTCAATGTCCAACTTCCACATGCGTATGAGGCCATTGAAATACCATAGCTGGCTCAGGCACAGCAGGTCTCCCTCACAGGTGTATGGATATTATCCTATCATTGACAGTGTTGTACTTGCAGGATAGACATTGAAATATTCTTTTTGACAATGCAATAATATGCCTCTTTGATTTATTATTCCTGGCCTAATAGACCATATGATTATCTGATTCAAAGAGGCTAATACCAGTCCATTTCATCTTACTAGTGCCTAGGATATGGATATTTATTTATTCTATTTCATTTTTTAAAAACTTGTTTGTTTCATGTCATTGATTTCAATCCCTCTATCATTGTTTTTTTCCATCTATTTCTAGATTGCATCCCTTTTTTCATACCCCTTCCTACATTCTGAATTTTACATTGGGGCAAATGCTATTCTTTTGATTTCAAATGATTGATTTTTCTAAGGAGGTCATGCCTTCCTAGTGTGATCATTCAAGGAACTCTGGTGAGACAATGGGCTAAAACATTGGGCAGCTTGCCACAAAGTCGATGGTTCCAAACCACCAGCCACTCCCCAAGAGAAAGAGGAGCTTGCCTGCTCCCATCCTGAGTTACAGTTTTGGAAACCTCCCTATGGTCATATGAGTTGGAATGGGATGGCTGGCAGTGGTGTTACTGTTACTGAAACAGTGGTGTTTCTGGTCACCTGATGGACCTGTTTGCCTCTTTTACAACTACCTATTTTCCTAGATTCATACATCACACACTCCACATTCTGATTAACGGGTTGGCAGCAGTTCCTTCTCATTTTGAGTCATTTCATATCAGCAAATGAATGTTCCCAAAGTTTTGCTTCATCCATGTCATTAAGGTTCACCCTACTATGAGAAAAAAGCTCTTCCCAGTCATATTTTGAGTGCCTTCCAACCTGAGGGGCTTATCAGATATATTTGGCCATGCTCCCCCACCTCCCGAAGTAGCCAGGTTCTCCTTCCTAATGTTAGTCTGAAATTCTGCTGTAATCTGTTCACCCCGAGTGACTCCACTGGTCTTTGGAATCCTAGTGGCGTATCTTCTAGCATTACAGTAACCCATTACTGATCATAAAGAAGCCCAGTGGCACAATGGTTCAAGCCCTCGATTGCAAACCAGCAGGGTAGCAGTTTGGATGTACCAGCTGCTCCCGTGGAGAAAGATGTGGTAGTCTGTTCTATCCCAGGTCACAGTCTTAGAAACCCTGTGCGGTGGTTCTACTCTGTCCTATAGGTTGCCTGCCATGAGCTGGAGAGGAGTGGGTTGTTCAATTATTTTCCATGATGGGGTTGGAGCAGCCCCAGGCAGGCTTGTGTTCTGTTGTGCATGGGGTCACCATAAGTCTGGGGCCAAATCACTGGCAGTTAACAACGTTAATGATACTAATGGGAATCATTTGAGAGGCCAGTTCCCAGGCCAGATTAAAAGGATATCAGGCGTTTTCTGCATAACACTTGGTTAATCATGATACCTCCATCAAATATTCAAATCAACACCCCCACTTCTACCTAATCAGTGCTGTACCTTAGAACATTTCTTAGTAAGTTGCACAAAATCCCTACCCATGATAGAAACAGTGCATGTTGCAACTAGATGATTATTATTATTTACCATCATCCCATAATTAGACATAATTTCTATAATTGCCCAAACAGAGAATACATGAATAAATATTTCTTAGGAAAACACAGATTAATGAAAAGAGTCCAAGTTCATGGTGAGATCTGTAAGATCCAGAGGGCACTTTCCCTTCCAGGTCCTATCAAGGTGATTTACACCAAGGGAATCATCCAAAGTAGGGACCAGCCCAGTCTTGGGGCATCTTGAGAATGAATTCAGGCCAACTGTGTTTCACTGGTTCAGTCTAGCGGGGTGACTCTCTTCATCAGCAAGGGGAATAATGGTTTGGCTGAGTTTTTTATCTGCTTTATACTTAACTGGTGAGGGTTTTTCTGCCCGAGAAGCAGATTTTTCTCTGCTTCACCTTTCCTCTCCAAATCTCCCCCTCCCCTCCCTTCTCATGTCTTCTCTTTTGTCATTCAACTGTGAGAGCTCTGCCCTGCAGTGTGGATGCTGTCCTAGGTACCTGTGATTCAGTTGGCAGCTCACAGTTAGCACTTTCCTTACCTTGGATCTTGGGGAATGGAACTCAGCTCAGCACTGCACACGTACTTGCTGATCGCCTGCGATGTATTGAACAGCATTTGAGGGCAAGCAGATAAAGCCTTCGTCGCTCACAGCTCACATTCTAAAAGGAAGACGATACTGATAAAGAGAAAGAAAACACCAAAGCAAGAAAATACGTGTAGCAGGTACTGAGGTAGTGGCACGATGAGTGAGCATTTCCAGCAATGCATGAACTTTTAAAAATATCTTGATTGGTATTTAGTAAATTCCTGAAGCTTTCTTTTTACCAATACCTTCAGTGCAACATGAGATTTTTCCCTTCAACATGATTGGTTCTTGGTTGAATATCGACCAGTTCTTTTGGGTACAGTGACTATATATTCTTCTCATCTTCTTTTGATATTTCCTGCATCATTCAACATCTTTTTTTGTTGTAATTTCTTTGCTTCCTGGTTTGTTTTTTTCAACTTCACATGTTTGGGGTTTTTACTGCATTTAGTTATTATTATCATTTTGTTAGTTGGGATTTAATTCATATAACATAATTCCATATTTCAATCACATCAAAGAGAAGTGTACAATTGCCACCACAATCAGTTTCCAACCATTATTTTTCTACATGGACTCCTTAACATTGTCTCCCTTTTCTTACATGCTTTCTGCATATATGATGTCTTTGATGTTACCCCATAAGTCCGATATTAATCCATATGTCCAATTTCAATCTATAAATTCCTCTTCAGACTCACGCAACATATGCAATGACACCGAATGCAGGAAGATCACAGGCCAGTGGGTGGAAAGTATTGTGGATCCAGTGGCAGTGGAAGCAGGGGTCTCCCCATGGCTCCTTCAGCCCCAAGACTCTAGTCATTAGTGCTTAGTTCATCAACTATATTCTTGAGAGAGTCTCTGAATTCATGGAATATACTCTTGTTATGCTTTGACTTTCATGGACTTGTTTTCGTTTGCCTCAGCTTTCACTTGTATTTGCATATGGCTAAGGAGATCTCTTTTGAGGTAGGATCCTGGCCTTGTTCTCACTGAAATTCCTGAGCTTCTCCCCGTCTCATTTCACAGATGTAGCCATTTTTGTGTATTCTGTCAAGGAGGCCTTTGTGTGTAATCGCTGTTCCTGTTGCTGAGGCAATGGTTGTTTTCAAAAAATAAGCCATTGGCCTTGCACAATCTATCATGCAATCTCTAGCATCATTTCTGTCACCAAGGCCATATTTTCCATCCTTATTTTTGTTTCCAACTTTCACATTCAAAGCAATACTTCAGTGCATTTAGTACTTCACATTCAAATTCAATACTTATCAATGCATTTTGATTACATGTCTACTCAATTTCAGACTGCAGAATTTGGTAAAAATCTTCAGCTTCTTCACCATTGGCATTAGTGTGTGGTAGTTACATAATCTGGTGCCAACTTGAGACTATGAAGAGTGAAGGAAGGGGTGGAGTTTAGCCTGTCAATCAGGTCACAGCTTGATGACCTCACTTGGAGGTGCTAAGGAGATAACTAGTTCGCTGGAGGTGGGGCACTCCCTGCGAGACATTTCTGTTGAGAGACACGGAGCTGCACTAGAGCCCTAGAGCTGAAGGAGCCATGTGGAGACCACTGTCAGCACTGAGATGCTTCTATTGCCACTGGCTCCACAAGACTTTCCACCCACTGGCCTGTGATCTTCCTGCATTCAGTCTCATTGCATGTGTTGGGTGAGTCTGAAGAGGAATTTATAGATTGGTATCGGACACATGGGTTAATATCAGACTTATGGACTTAATATGGACTGGGCTGATATAAAGTTCTCTCTTACACACATATGAGTGTCTATGAATTTGCTTCTCTAGTCAACCCAGACCAACACAGTGTGTAAACTTGGATAATAGTCGCATTAACTGTATAGATATTATCCTATCACTGACCACGTTGTACTCTAAGATACAAAATAAAATGCCATCGAGTTGTTTCCAACTCATAGTGGTCCTGTAGAACAGGGTAGAACTGACCCTGTGGCAGCCTATCATGTAACCACTATGCCACCCTGGCTCCTGGTACTTCAGGTTAGATTTTGACATTTTCTTCTTCACAATTAATGTGATGACATTCCTCATCAATTAGTCATCCCTAACATAGGTGGCCATACAATTGTCTTATTCAAAGTGGTAAATACCAGTCCATTTTAGATCACTAATGCCTAGGATCTCAATTGTTTTGTGCTCCATTTAATTTTTTATGACTTCTAATTTTCTAGATTTATACTTAATATCTTCTGCATTCTGATCATTGATGGATGCTTGTATCGGTTGCTTCTCATTTTGAACAGTACCACATCAACAAATGATCCTGAAAGCTTTGGTCCATTCAGGTCTTTAAGGCCGATGCTACTTTGAAGAGACAACTTCAAAGTATAACTGGAGAAGTTATATGTTCAGTGCCTTTTAACATGAGGGGCTTGTTTTCTGGTACTATATTAGATGATATTCTGCTGCTTTTCATGAGGTTTTCAGCATCCAGTTTTCTTCAGAAGTAGATCACCAGGTCTTCTTCCTAGTCTATCTTAGTCTGGAAGTTCCACTGAAACCTGTCCACCACTGATGACCTTACTAGAATTTGAAATGCCAATGGCACAGCTTTCACCATCACAGCCATATATAAGCCACGACAGTGCAACAACCTCCAGACAAGTGTTAGGAAATATTGCTACTCATACTACACACGAGGCTTTGGGTGGTGGTTAGGCCCTTGACTACTAGAGGGATAGTTGATGGTTCAAATATACGAAAAAGTGCCTAGAACAATATGTCTACCAATCTGCTTCTGAAAGATCCCAGCCTTGAAAATTCTATTGAGTAGTTCCCTTCTGCACTCAAGGAGTCACCATGAGTCAGAATCTGCTTGATGGCAGCTGGGAACAGCAGCATCTGATCTCCTAGGTACTCAGCAAATACTTATTTTCAGTGAGCGAACTGAATCCTACTTGTGTTTCCAAGCCCAACTCAAGGCTCACTTCCTCCCCACCACACACAGCACTTTCGCTGTCCTTATTTTACCTCTAACTGCCTGTTTTGCCAAACCTAAGCTTCTTAGTCTCTTTACAACCCCCGCCTCCCTCATGCACCTAACGCCCTACTGAGCCCTTGATAGGTGCTCAATACATGTTTATCGATTGACAACATGTACATGAGTTGATTTTTTCTTTGTCCTCGGGCCAAGTCATCTTCAGCAGACAAGGTAAAGGGGGAGCACTGGAGAAGTCTGAGCTATGTTGCAAGGGGGCAGGGGGAAAGTAGGATTGCATTAGAAACCCCTTCACTGTGGTGATGCTGATATGCATATGTGTTTTTAAGGCTGTTAGAGTGCTTCGATTTACAAAGGCTGAATGCAGCCGATAACCTCCTTTCTTCTTTCATGAAGGAGAAATAAGGGATAATCTTAGGGCTTTCTTCAACTTCATTTGTGCATGTGAGGAGCATTATACTGGCAGTAATTACAGAAAGGAGAGGAAATGGAATAAGTACCGAAGGAAGAATTATTTGTACTCAACCTAATTAAAATCCTGTAAAAAGAATTCTTCTTTTATTTGAGAAGATAATCTAACATGACCTTGAAGCCATCATACTTTTCATTTTAAGGGGAAAAATGGCAGAAAGATCATTCGTGAAAGGCAACCCTTCACTTGCCTTTCAGAAATTAAGTGACCTTGGTTTCTGAACCACTTCCCTCCATGAAATTAACTTTCATCGAGCCCTCTCACTTAACAAGGGGATGATCATCAAGCCAGAGGAGAGGCTCACCCAATGGACTAGGAAGAGATAGAAGACACTGTAGACAAAAGGCACCAGGGACTGTTGAGTCTTAGTTTAGAATGCACTGAGGTTGTTTTGTTTTTTTCACATTGTTAACAACAACAAATATATACATGGGATAAAACAGCCTTTCATCTCAGGTGGTATTTACACTGCATCATGTGTCTACAGGGTTCTTTTTTCTGAGATGCCATTGAGTCAGTTCCAGCTTTGTTGACCCTTTATGTGCAGAGTAGAACTGTTCCATTGGGTTTTCAAGGCTTCAGAAGCGGATTTCCAGGGCTCTAGTCTGTAGTGCCTCTGGATGGCTTCAAACTGCCAACCTTTCGGCTAGTAGTTGAGTGCTTAACTGAGAACTTTTTCTATAATCCAGCACAGTTTAGACAATTTCCAGGCAGATGATCTGTTCCAGAGATTGCTCCAGTCAGGATACAGCAACGATCACAAAGCTTATCATTTATATATTTGATTCTGCTATGTCATTTGTACATGTTATCTCATTTAATTCTCACAATTATTCACTGGTGGAATAATTTGGGGTTATTATTATTGACCCAGTTTTTCCGATGAGAAAACTGAGGCTCAGAGATGTTAACTGATTTTTTTTCAAGCCCACACAAGTTATCTAAATGGCAAAGCCAGGACTAGAATCCAGGTCTACCAGATTCTAAAACTATGACAACATATGGACAATTAAATTGGGTGGAATAGCTACCCACAATATCACTCCTCACAATTCTATGCATCTCACATTCCAACTAGGAGTCCCTGGTATAAATGTTTAAGCTCTTGGCTCCTATCCACTCAGTGGTACCTAGAAAGGAAGTCCTGGTGTTCTATTTCCAAAATATCAAAGCTATTGAAAACCTGGTGGAGCACAGTTTTACTTTGAAACACACGGGGTTGCCAATCATTGGCATATCCTCCACAGCCATTGTTTATTTTTCTTTTGTTTTCTCATGTTCTACCTGAGCCATCCCCATCTAGGTGTTTTTCTCAGGTAAGATAGTGGAGGCTTTGTAAGTAAGCTCCATGGAAGAAACTATCTGGCAATCTGTTCCCCAAAAGATTTACAGCCAAGGAAACAGTAAGGGCAATTGTATCCCAGGGACACAGTGGAGAAAAGGAGACCCAGTGGCATGCTGATTAAGTCCTCTGGAGGTTTGAGCCAACCTGCAGCTCTATAGAGAAAAGGCCTGGAAATGTGCCCCTGTGAAAATTACATCCTTGGAAGCCCTATGGAGCACTTCTGGGTTTCGCTG